TTCAGGGGGTTTAGGGGCTTAAGTAGAGTTTAGGGGGTAACCCTAAACCCTAAACCCTAAACCCTAAACCCTAAACCCGAAACCCTAAACCTTTATCGTGGCGGTTTAGGGCTTACCGGTTTTGGGATCAGGGGCTTCAAGGCTTCGGGCTCTTTAAGATGGCCCGAGGCTGCCCGGCCCGAATCGCCAGCGCAATCTCTCGGAGTAATCTCTATAGGATTTATAGTGTTTAGGGGTTTAGGGTTTAGGGTTTAGGGGTGTAGGAGTTTGGAGCTCGGCGCCTCAGGACCAAAGCCACAAGAAGCTAAAGCCAGATGAAAGCCTGATTAAACTCGTAGGCATTTCTATGAGATCTTTTTGGTACGAAAGGATCCCCCCCTAAACCCCTAAGCCCTAAACTTCTCATCCCTAAACCCCTAAACCCAAAGCCCTGAACTGGGGCCCTGAACCCCCAAACCCCCAAACCCCTAAACCCTACCTATGACTACCCTAAACCCTATAGAACCCTTTACAGGAACCCTTAAAGGAACCCGATAACCCTACTTATAACTACTCAAACCCCCATCCAAAGAAGTGGACTTCAGGGCTTCGACGGCCTGGCGCACCTCACGGAGCACGCCACTGGCCCAAGATCTTTGCCCCGGGTTTAGGGGTTACACTTGGGCGCAAGCCTTCTAAAAATTAGGGTTTAGGGTTTAGGGTTTGGGGTTTTGGGTTCAGGGTTTTGGGGTCCAGGGTTCAGGGTTTAACGTTTAGGGTTTAGGGTGTTGGGGTTCGGGGTTGAGGGTCCAAGATGTGCCGGGTTTAGGGTTTAGGGTTTGGGGTTTTGGGGTTCAGGGTTTAGGGTGTTGGGGTTTTGGGTGTCCAGGGTTGAGGGTATAGGCTCCGAGAGTTAGGGGTTGTTTCGGGGGTGCAGGAAAGGGGTGTGTGGTTTATTGGTTCAGGGTTGAGGCTTTAGGACTTTCTCGCGTAGCTAAGGCTTAAAGGAAAATTCAGGGGTTTAGGAATTTCCGGATCAGGGTGCTTAGGGTCCTTGGGTTTGGTGGTTTAGAGTTGAGGGTTTAGGGGTTTAGGGTTTGGGGCTTTAGGGTTTAGGGTTTAGGGTTTGGGGCTTAGCGGTTTAGGGTTTAGGGCGTAACGGTTTCGGGTTTAGGGTCTAGGATTTGGGGCTGAAGGGGCTTAGGACTGTTGCCTTGTGTTCTGGAGCGAGAGTTTGACGAGTCATTTGCCAGATCCACCCCATTGTATCATTGGCGTTCTGGACTCTGACATAGCAGCCTGATAAAGGACCATGATACTGATAATGCCATAATATAACATTACATATCATCTTCTCTGCTAGAGTATACTATAATATACGATAATTTATCGTAATATAACATAATCTTCTCTAATCGACTAAAGTATATGATACAAACTATAGCACTGAACTCTTTAGAGTCCTTGACTCGGAACCACTTCTTTCTACCAGCTCTCAAGGGGTTTAGGACTTTCGGGCTTTGGGCTTTGAGTTCAGGGCCTCGGGTATCGGTCGGTGCAGGCTGGGGTCAGGTTTCGGTTGGCTGTGTGGCTTGTCGAGTTGCCATTCTTGGTGTCATGGTTCTGTTTATGGTGTAGGGTTTAGGGGTTTAGGGGTTTAGGGGCTTGAGGGTTTGGGGTTTAGGGTTTAGGGATTATGGATATCATTCTGTGTTCTTCCTCGTCTACGCCTTGCTTGTTGCCACGGCTAGACGTATGAAAGCACTGTTGCCGTTGTTGCGGCCATAGCCCACAGCGTGAAACCAATCCGAACTGCAGCTCCCAAACCCTAAACCCGTTTATTAAACGGGTCGGGCCTAGTTAATAACTAGGCCCGAAATTAAGTCTTAGCGAAACCCGAAATTAAGGTTTAGTCAAGCCTTAAATTCAGCTAAACCCGAAATTAAGGCTCAGTTTAAGCCCGAAATTACGGTTTAGCTAAACCCGGTTTACTGAACCCTGAATCTCCGGCTTGATTACACCTTCAATTACGGGTTTGGCTAAACTTTACTTTCGGGCTGAATTCGATTTGAATTTCGGGTTTAGCTAAACCCTAGTGTCAAGACTGACTAAACTAAACCCTAAATCCTAGACTCTAAACCCTAAACCCTAAACCCTAAACCCCTCAAGTTCCTAACAGGCCCCCATAGGACCATCCTTCGGTGCAGATGAATCCTCAAGGCTCGTTGATATCCTTGACCCTAAAGCCTAATATAGGCCTTTGTAGTTACCACATTATGTTGGTGGTTCATTATTATAATTGTTGTAAAATATACCCTAAAGCCCTATTCTAACTTTCCTGGACCCTAACGCCTACTGTAAGCCCTACGATGTATCGAAGGAGACCTTCATGACCTGCCCTCCCCCCTAAACCCTAAACCCTAAACCCTAAACCCTAAACCCTAAACCCTAAACCCTAAACCCTAAACCCTAAACCCTAAACCCTAAACCCTAAACCCTAGTTGCGCCGACCTCTGAGGCCATGTTCCTGGGCTCCGGGAAGTTTCCAGAGCAGTGTCCTGGTTATCGTCTTTAGATGGTCAGGGCTTTAAGGGGTTTAGGGTTTA